TGAGTCCTGGGATTAGAGGCCTGTTCTACCAACCTAACCTTATTTGCATGCTTTGTAATGTTTTAGAAGCTTACATGAATTAAGTTGTTTTATCTTCCTATAACCCTATTGATATGAATAGCTGCCCTGTTTTAAGGTGAGGTGTCTTCACAAATATTGTAATGTATTTTGGAGGCTGGAAAGATGGCTCAGTGGTTTAGAACACTAGTTGCTCTTGGACAGAACCTGGGGTGAGTTCCCAGTACCCAACATGGTGGCTCACAACCATCTGTAACTCCAGTGCCAAGGGACTCAACACCGTCTTCTGACTTCTGAGGGCACCAGGAGGCATGTGGTACACATACACACACACAAGCAAAACACTAATACATATAAAACAGATCTAAATAAAAAATTTTAAAAGAGTAAGCATATTTTATGAAGTTACATTACACAACTAGTTCAGTAATGGGATGAAATGATGTGGTTTCAAAGAATATTTATTCTCTTGGCTACAGTTCATGGTTCCTTACAAGGAAAGATATTTTAAGTGCTGACTTTTGCTCAGTGGCAAGCTGTGTGGGTTTTTTGTGTTATTTGTTTGTTTTGAAACAGGGTCTCTCCATATAGCCTGGCTGTCTTGGAACTTAATATGTGGGTCAGGCTCACCTCAAATTCAGAGAGGTCTGCTTGCCTCTGTTTCCTGCAACGCTTCACTTAAAGGCATACACCACTGTAGCCAACTTAATTTTGCTTTTTAAAATATATTTTTAAACATTTATTTTATGTGCTTGAGTGTTTTGCCTGCCCATTGAGGCCAGAAGAAGACATTGGGTCTTTTGGAACTGGAGTTAACAGTTGTTAGCTGCCTTGTGGGTGCTGGAAATTAAACCTGGGTCCTCTGGAAGAGGAGCCACTGCTCTTAACTGCTGAGCTGTCTCCAACCCAGGCTGTGCATTTAATGCCAACTCACAGCAAATTGTTTCCTTCTCTGTAATGTGTATTGTTAGTTCTGGTTGTACTAAAAATAACACTAGGTATTCTCTCTCTGTTGTGGGCTGGGGGGGGTGGGTAACCAGGACAGCCAGGGTTGTGTAAAAAGATCCTGCCTTTAAAAGGGGGGAGAGGGGAATGCTTAGAATAGAAAGAAGTTTGTACACTGAAAATTTAACCATGTATAAAGAAGGTACAAGGTATATAAGTAGCTCTTGTATGCTTTCTCAGCTAGCCACAGTCTTAGGCATATAGTTGTTTTGGGGAATGAATTTGGTATTTCTCTTAACTTCCTAGATGAAAGGAGAGACTGATGTACAAACAGCCACAATATAATATTAAACATAACAAGAGGGTTAGAGATATGTTTCAGTGGTTAAAATACTTACTGTGCGAGCACAAGGGTCTTGTGTCTGGATCTCCAATGCCCACCATGCCAGATGTGGCATTCCATGTTTGTTACCTTAGTGCTTGGGCAGGGGCCAGACATAGGCAGATCCTGAAATCATCTAGCATACTGTGAGCTCCAGGGTTAGTCTCACAAAAAAAAAAAAAGATAGCAATAGAGAAAGACACCTGAATTTGGCTTCTGTCCTCCACACATGCACAAGCACACACATTGGTTTCCTTTTTATTGTGGTATACAGAGAGACAAGACAAGCATATCATTCTTCTGGAATATGTCCTCTTCTTAGGCCTCTGGCACCAGAAGGTTGTTCTAGTTCTTGTTAAGCCTAAGTCATCTTCCCTGGCACATGGCTTACAGAGTAGATAACCAAGAAAATTACCTCTAGTAGAACATACCCTTGGCCTACTTATTCTCTTCACTCTCAAAAGGATGGTGGCAGCAATTTTATGAAGTAGTCTTGACACCAAAGTAATTTCTTACTTTTTTTTTCTTTGTTTTCTAGAGTTTGGTAGGGCAGAGCCTGGAACCATTCTTTTAAATTGTAACCCATCTGTTGCTAGTTCACTCTAAGTATGAAAATTGAGAGTAAATACTTAGAAACCTTGGTTGCTTGACATTTTCTTGTATTGGGACTTAGATTAGAATTGTAAAAAACAAGACAGAAAACTGATCCTTCATTAATAGTTTTGAGAAATACTGGCTTACTTGGTTATTAGTATGATAAAGTAGAAAAGAGCTTTGGTCTTCTGGTCTATTAAACAATCAATACCTACCTGAAAGAGTTGCTTTATAGATGATTTGATGGTAGATATTTGGGTTGCTTAATATACGTGTGCATACCACTTAATCCTCACCACCATGCTGAAGCAAGTATCTCATTTTTCTGGGGCTGTGTAGGTTATAGGGCAGTAGTGACTATGGATCTGCATGGAGCTATGCTATTTTCTGCATAGAGTGGGCAAAAGAACTCTTCCTTGTCCCTTTACTTTTTCTGTGTCACCAGAAGTAGAGTTCCAGTTCTGCCACTAACCTAACTTAGTTTTAACCTTAAGCAAGTCACTTTGTCTGGTTCTTAATATTCTCATTTACTTGCCATTATTGAGGGACCATATTTTGTTGTCTTGCATTCCTTAGCATCTAGCATGACAGGGCTTATCATGTTATAGGTGTTGAATACTATGGCCACTGATTATAATAGAGGTTTTCTAAAGGTCCTTTCAATTTGTTTTTATCCAGACATCCATTTTATCTTATGCCTTTCCTCTGGAGGATCATGTTTATCTGTGTGTGTGTGTGTGTGTGTGTGTGTGTGTGTGTGTGTGTGTGTGTGTGTGTGTGTGTGTGTGTAACAGTGTAACAGTGTAACAGTGTTAACAGTGTTCTGCCCGCATGTATCCCTGCAGGCCAGAGGAGGGTACCAGATCTCATCATGGATGGTTGTGAGCCACCATGTGGTTGCTGGCAATTGAACTCAGGACATCTGGAAGAGCAGCCAGTGTTCATAACCACTGAGCCATCTCTCTAGCCCCCATGAATGAATATGAATATATATATGAATATATATATATATACGAATATTCTTACTTTCTCATGTCTGTTTATTTTAGGCAATCTCTAACCTGACTACTTTGAGACAACCAATATGACTAAAGTAAACCACCAAGGGTTATACTATAAAGGTAAAGGTGGCAGGGGCCAGCTCAAAAGTCAGGAAAAGTACTCTTGTCTGCTCTTACTCTATGGGGCTTGGGCCTAGGGCAGCCCTGCCAGGCCTGAGTAATGGCTGCAGCTTCCAGCAAGGTTTTCCATGCACTATACTGGGGTCTCCAGTAATTGGAGCATGGCACTTTCCAACTTATAATGGATAGCAAAACGAGAGGGGCATTTGTCACTGCCTGACGTCCCTGCAGGAAAAAGGCTCATAAGTCACAGCTGACAAACCCTTTGATGACTTTTAAACTTCATTTACAGCAAAGAATAGCTATAATCAAGCAACAGCAAGCAGTGACTAATCTTGCTACATTATCACTGTGAGGAGTCAGCCTCATGAGGCATGAGAAGTGAGAGGGGGCCGTTTTGCAGTTTCATAGTATGTGTGGTTTGGCTCTTGGCCTTGTGAGCATGCTCTAGGAAAAACCACATGAATTTGCCTAAAGGATCAGAAGCTGATCAACCGTAGACTCAGCATTGAAGCCATTGAACCAACTCTGTCTTGTCTCACTGAACTCTGGCTTAAGTAGGACACCATCATCTGCCTCAGTAAAGACGCTTAAAAGATAAAATAGTTGAGTAAGGGCTCTTTTTATGCTTGCCCATGTATACAGACCTGGAAGGGTCTTTTGTTGTCTAAAATCTAATGTTTATGTGTTCCAGAGAATGACCTATGGCAACCATAGTTTTGGTTTTGAACAAATGAGCTAAGTATATAGCAACCCAAAATAAAAGAATAAATATCAGCCGGGTGGTGGTGGTGGTGGTGGTGGTGGTGGTGGTGGTGGTGGTGGTGGTGGTGGTGGTGCACGCCTTTAATCCCAGTACTTGGAGGCAGAGGCAGGCGGATCTCTGTGAGTTGGGAGACCAACCTGGTCTACAAAGTGAGTTCCAGGACAGGCTCCAAAGCTGCAGAAAACCCTGTCTCAAAAAACAAAAAAACACACACAAAAAGAGTAAATATCAAATGATAGATAGATGATAAATAGCCAAGCAAAGCATCTTATCAGGTTCTTAAAACATTCAGCAGAAATTCACTGGGGGAGCCTCTTTAAGTCAGTCAAGTCAGCTAGAGTTCCCAATAGTGAGTCCCTAGTAGTGTCCCCCTCCAGTGAGGGTTCCAAGTAAAAAAACAAATAGCATAGTACCCAATTTGAATTTTTTTTCTCACACATCTAGCAGAAACCAATTGGGGAAGTTGAGACAGTCATCTGGGGTTCCCAGTTGTGCTTTTTGTCTATGGCTGGATATGTGGGATAAATGGTAGCATTTTTACCTTCTAGCTATTCTCAAAATCATGTGGCTTTACTTTGGAGTTGTTTTCTTGTACTTTTTCTCCTTGTCAACAGCAGAGTTAAGAGGATCAATTTATCTTCAGAAAAGGGGCCTTAGAGAATAGTTTTGAGATAAACATGCTTGGGTCTGAAACAGCAAGGGAACCCTGATTCCAGGACTAGCTTCTCAGTGAGTTCAAGTAGCACATAGCAGTTTACCAGTATAATGTATAGTGTGTGAGGTTATATGAACACTACTGGTAAAGCCAGGATCATTCTTATGGATGGAGAAATCACTGAGAGTGATCTCATGGAGAAGGAAGAACATAAATGATCAAAGCTGCATTAGTCTTCCCACTCTAATCAGACTAATTACTGTGGCTCTCTGAGACTCAGTTGCTCGTTAGTTTTTTATTTTCTTCCTTTGTGGTAACAGAGGAGGGAACCCATGGCTTCATGAATGCTAAGCAAGTACTGTACTACTGAACTACATCCCCAGCCAGAGACTCGGCTTTTTAATCCGCAGAATGAAGAGGATACTAATTTCATTAGGTTGATAGGGATCTTGAGGAATCATGTGTATAAAGCTTCCACGTGTCTTGATTAAAGTTGCTGTGTAGTGTGTTCTCCCTCAGGACAAGAATAAGTGTCAATCAAGTGACTAGGAGGCAATAACAGGTGTTCTCCCATTTCAAACTTTTTCCAGCCCTACTCTGTGTATATATATTTACCAAAGCAGGTGAGTCATGATAAATTTGAAATACACAATTCCTGTATATTGTTCCTACAGTTTCTCTTGCCACCACCCAGTGGTAATTCGTCTTAGACATTTTCCCTTTTGGTAGATCATTCTCTCATGTTCTGCTGCTTTGTCTTATTACCCATGCTGTTTTTGCTGAGGCTGCTTCTGAGGCAGCCAAGGGATAAGAGCATTGATAATAGACTTCCTGTTGTGACTCTCTTACTCGCAGGTTAAATAAATACTGCATTGGGAGATGAACAGGTAAAAACCATAAGAACTGGGCACAGCTACTTTGTGGCCATGTGGATGCCCCGTTTGAGTCTAGTAACCAGATTAATTACTAGATGAACAAACACATAGATTATCTGCTAATATATAGCCCATAATTAGATTTTTGGATTTTTAGTGATTATTAGATGGATAGGTAGGTTTGTGGATGACTTCTTAGTAACTTAAGTCAGTTTTAGATTATTACAATAATCATCTACCCACTGTTTGCCTTTCCCCTAACTGTTAAGGAATGTATTTCATAGATCCTAAGCTTTCACTTAAGACTACAATAAATTTTAAATTTGAATTTGTGAATCAGACATAAGGGAGGTGTGATATACACCCTGACCATGGTATGGAGTGGTGACTGAGGCCTTGCCCCACCTTTTGTTTTTGCTTTACATGTTCCTCCAGGGCCGTCTACTTACTGACAACGGTGAAATGGTGCAGAAGGTAGGGCCTTATGGCACAAATGAGTGAGGGTAGCCTGTGCAAAGCTTGGAATCCCTTCTTATGCTTTGATGGTCTGACAGGCATGGAGAAGAGACACTGTTAAAGGTCTTAGGTACTAACTAGACACTAAGCCAAGGTATAAGAGCATTGATAATAGACTTCCTGTTGTGACTCTCTTACTCGCAGGTTAAATAAATACTGCATTGGGAGATGAACAGGTAAAAACCATAAGAACTGGGACTGTGGATCACCTAGAGTGTATTAATCTGCTGTCATGGGGCATTAGGTTATCCAAGGTGTCAGCTTCTGTCAGTGTGACAAAATAGATGAATAAATCATTTAAGGAAAGTGAGGGTTTATTTTGGCACAGTTTCAGCCCATGTTTAGTTCTTTGTTGGGTCATGGTAAAGGGCACGAATGTCATGGTAGAGGGCATAGTAAAGCAAAACTGCTCATCTTAAGGTGTCCAGAAACAGAAAGACAGAATAGGGCAAGAGATGAGTTATATGGTTCAAAGACATGCTGCTGGTGACTTAAACATCCTTCAACCAGGTGCTGACTCCTTATAGCCTGTTCTGCCATTAGCTCATCAGTGGGTGGGTTAATCCTTGCTAGACTGACTGTCCTCACAGTCCAGTCATTAAAAATAGTGCTTCTAGTTGGGGAATAAAACTTCAGTACATGAACCTTTGGGGCTGTTACATCCAAACCATAACTTACTTACTTACTTCCTTTATTTTTGTTTCAAGATAGGGTTTCTCTGTGCAGCCCTTGCTGTCCTGGAACTCACTAAGTAGACCAGGTTGACCTCAATTCCGATCCTCCTACCTCTGCCTCCTGAGTGGTGGAACTAAAGGTGTGCACTGCCGCCACGACCCAGCTACATTTTATTTAATACCTACCAGCACCTGACATTATACTGGATACTACTTAAGCTCCCTCCCCTCCCTCCCTCCTCTCTCTTTTTGAAGCAGCATCTCTCTGTGTAGCCCTGAGTGTCCTGGAACTCGCTGTATAGACTATTCCATATATATGGAATGTTTTTCGTCTGTGGTTTAGCTAATCCAAAGATGAATGCCAATGAACAGATGGTCCAAGAAACAAGTAGTTATTCAGTCCAAGAGACTGGATGTCTCAGCTGGTCTGCAGTATATACTGGAATTTCAGAGAAAGTAGGCTCTAATGCCAGTGAAGGAATGGACTTGCTACAAAAGTGAGAGCAAGCAGGCAAAGAGAAAATGAGCTTCCTTCCATGTTATTTACATAGGCTGCCAGCAGAAGCATGGCCCAGATTAAAGGTGGGTCTTCCCACTTCAGATGGTTTAGCTAAGAAAAATCCCTCACAGGTGTACCCAGCCAAGTTAACAACCAAGAGTAGCTATCACACTGGGCTGGCCTTGATCTCACAGCGATCTGCCTTCCTCTGCTTCCAGAGTGCTGAAATTACAGGAGTCTATCATCATGCCTGACTTCATTCTTTTTATTTTAAACATTTTTAAAAACATATAATATAGTTTTATATGCATTGGTGTTTTGACCACGTGTATGTCTGTGTGAGGTGTCAGAAGCCCTGGAGCTGGAGTTACAGACAAGGTATGAGCTCCCATGTGAACACTGGGAATTTGTTTTGGGTCCTCCAGAAGAGCAGTCAGTACTCTTTAACTGCTGAGCCATCTCTCCAGCCCCCTGACTTACATTTCCTTTAAAATTCTCATCCATCCATCCATCCATCCATCCATCCATCCATCCATCCATCCATCCATCCATCCATCCATCCAGTGGGTGCACATTTAGAGTTTAGAGGACAGTATTTGAGAACTGGTTCTTTTCCTTTGCTGTAAATGTCCTATGAATCTAACAAATTCAAGTCTTCAGGCTTGGTGACAAGTGTCATTATCAGCCGAGCCATCTCCCTGGCCCCTGCTTACTATCTCTGGCAATAGCAGAACAGCTTTAATGCTGCCTGGCAGTTGAGGATTCTGAAGCCTAGCAAGGGTTAGAGCTGAGCTCATAAATTGACAGGACTAGATTTGGAACTCAGTCCTACCTGATTCTAAAGTTTATACTGCTTTTGCTATTTCATCATGTTTTTTGGGGAGGGGAGACTAATAACAATAACAAAACTGGGTTCCCCAAAATGCTTTTTTTATTTTTATTTTTTGAGACAGGATCTTAACTATGTAGCCCTAACTGGACTGAAACTATTTCGACTACACTGGCCTCAACTTGCAGAAGTACACCTGCTTCTGCCTTCCAAGTGCTGGGATTAAAGGCCCGTGCCACTATGTCTGTTGAAAGAGGGCTTCTTGACAATAAAGAGACCAGTCTCTATTTAGTTTCTCAGCAAGACCAGTATAGGAAACACTCAAAAGTGGTTGTTTGAGTGTGCGGGATAGAAATTGGACAGTAATAGAAACAGGTACAATCCTATCTCTTTTCATTAATTTGTTACAGATAAAACAGCACTTTCCATTGGTTAGCTCATTTGATCACTATGCAGATCTGAAAAAATAATCAGGGAGATGCTTTCTGTTTTCAGAATAAAGGTGTTAATGATTGTAAAAATCACATGACTTGTTTCAAGTGGCATGAACAGCCAAACCAAAGTGGAGCTTTGTGAGTCTGTAGCCAGTTCAGCTTGTACTTTCATGCCTCTGGAAGCCTTCTGTGGTTGGCTAGTTGAGAGCAGGGGTTTCTCATGGGAGTGAAATTTGTCAGTACTACTTGGGAAATTAGTTCTGTCTGGCCAGTGATGATCATTTGGGCAGTGTTAATGAGTAGGGACCTGAAGAGTTTAATGAGATTAATAGACGTTCTGTCATCCATGGCTGCCTGGCAACCAGGTTCTCTGGACTGAGGAGTTCCTAAACACTGATCCATCTAATTGCTTGGCTTTCTTCAGGGATAGTCTCCTGTCACTGACAGCTCTTTACTACTTGCTGTCCTAGGGTTATCTGAGGGCAAAGGCAGGAGAAAAACCAGAAGTAACCCAACATGACAGGCTAAAACTAAGCAGCATTGGGACAACAAGACCAAGAGCAGCAGCTCCTCCTTGGAAGTAAACGTTCCACAAGGAGCAGATCCAGTCCTGGGCAAGTTTAAACACAACTCAGTTTAATCTGAGAGGCAGGATTGGAAGCTTAATAAGGGAGGCATGGCAGAGTCAGAGTCAACAGTGGATGAGTCTAGACTGAAAATCTTCAGCCTTTAAAAAGGGTAGGAGAGAGAATGACCAGCAATGATATTATTTTAGCCCTTTTATGATTCCTTGACTTGCTGTTTTATTAGCAATAAATTTATTTATTCAAGTTCCAGAGTCCAAAATGAAGGTATCTGGCTAAGTGTGCCCATGGTTCCAGGACAGGTCTTTTTGTTCTGTTCTTCATTGTGGAAAGGCAAAGGTAGTTCTCAAGAGCTCTTTATTTTATAAAGGTACTAAAACCCATCTATGCAGAGTTGGCTCTTATGACCTAATCATCTAAAGATTCTGTCTTTTTGCCCTTAGATACCCTTGGGGATATCTGAGTGGTTTAGAAAGAATGTTGCTATCAGATAAAGACAACCATTTCTGAAGAAAACTAAGCAGTTTCCCCAAAGTATCTACTACTTCCTTGGTTCAGCTGCTCTTGGTTTCCAGGCAGCTAGGGATGGACAGAAGGCCTGTTGATCTCTAAGCTCAGGCTAATATGTGTTCATGTTTCAACATGGAATTTGAAGGAAGAATGCAGAGCCTGAGAGAGATCAATAGCATTCATAAAAGTCCTGTGCAAATTGAAGAATTGTAGAAAGGGGGAGGACAAGGAGGGTGTGTGTGTGACTCAGATGAGTATTCTTGCCCTAGAAACTATTACTTTGGGAATTTTTGCACACACAATCTGGCCTCTGTGGATGCCTGTTTTTGTGTTTTTTCAGTCAGACAGACTTGAATTCCATTTGTGGCTTTGCTTTAGTAACCAATTACTTTGTCTCATTTTCCTATTTAAGGTAAGCCCTTATGTGGAGATTAATGGGAAGAGATGCAGAAGCACTGGTGCTCAGAATCAGAGCCTTTTTACTGTAAGGGATTTTTGGGGAGCGTCTCAGTTACCCCAGATTTAGGAGTTGGGAGGTACCTTTTAAGACTTTTACATTTGCAAAGCTCTGCTTTTCTAGTGTTAGCTTTTGTGTTCTATCTGAAATGTTTGAACTTGGGGAAATGGTTTTTTTGCCAGATTTCTTACTAACTTGGAGAAGTTGGCCCATCCCTTTGAGCTGTAATTACATTTCAAAGCTTTTGTCCCTGGTGGGGTTTAATTAGTTTAAGGCTTCAGCTTTTTTAGCAGTTTATCTAGCAAGTGAAAGTGAAGACATTAGCCTAGGAGTTTTTCTCCAGCATAGCAGTGTTTTTGAGATGCTGTCTTTGTTTTCTGCTCTATGCTTTCCTGGATGCCCATCTCACTTAAAGGAAAAATATACAAAAATCCTGATCTTATGGGGTGTGATAGCTCAGACCTGTAATTTTAGCACTTTGGAAGTGGAAGCAGGGAGATGAATTCAAGGCCAGCTTGAGCTATATGAGACTCTTGTCTTTAAAGAGAGGGGTTGGGAGAGGGTAGAGGGATGGAGAGGAGAAAGGATATGGAAGGGCAAAGGAAATAACAACAATAAAACCCTCGATTTAGAAATGGAGGACACCCCAAACCCTGGGGTTTATGAACCATGGTATCCTGGCCAGGTTCTTCACCAAAGTCCCTGCTAATCTGACATTACAGATATCTCTAATAACACATGTGGTTGCTGTATGATTTCTGCTCTCTCCAGGCCCACCACCCACCTCTCCTCAGCGTATTATTAAGCATAAGAACCTCTGGAGTTGTTGGTACCTTGCACTCAGTTACATAATTTATAAAGCAAGGTTTGGCTGGTAGTGGGGAATAGCTTATCAAGTTAGGTAGTTTTTATTGAAAAGAATATTGACATTTTTAGGACCCCCACTCTTGAAAAATCCAGAAAGAGACTAGATGTGGTAGCACATGCTGGTAATCTCAGCAGTTGAAAAACAGGGGGGTTAGGAGTTTAAGGTCATCGTCCTTCAAGGCCAGCCTTAGTTAAATGCTACTTTGTCCAGTTTTTAAAGGGGGGAAACAAAATGGGGTGTTTATTAAATTGGGGTGTTGGTTTGTGAGAGTGGGCATTTGGATCAGACTAGAAAGCCAGGCCTGAAAGCTAGTCAGTGTGGCATACACCTCGGAAGTACCTACCATTCAAGTGTTTTACAACTCCCTAGACATGTGTCTGTGCTCTTGGGCTTAGGGAGTCTGTAGAGTAGAAAACAACTTACATCCTAAAGCATCATGCAAGGCCTAAAAACCAACTGGGAGGATATAGATTGGGATTTGGGTACCAGAGCATGTTCCACTTTATCAGGCACATGCATATACTTTGTGTGTCATCTCTACAGATGAGAACAGGGTGGCAAGGTTGACTCTTCTTGGTATCCTAAGAATGTGCTCGCTCCAGTCTGATCATGACTCATCTAGAATGGTCCCACTACTAGTGGTGTTAATAGAATAGATAAATACAGTTATACTAATAGTTGATCTTGTAAAGGCCTCCAGTTTGCAAAGTTCTTTTATATTTATTGTTCCAAAGCTCAAGTGAGGAAAGATTGGCAGAGCCAAACCTGAAAGACTGTTCTCCAGCAAACCAGTGAGTGCTGATCCCTCCACAGTGTTCCACAAAGGAGCTCAGCGAATGATTCCTACTCAGCTATGTTAGAGGCTCCTAACAGCCGGAGAGATCCACTACTGTCTTGTCCTTGTCAAGTAAATGGCAGAGCCAGCAATCTGGTTGGTTCCCTCCTGCTGAACAAAATGGCATCTCTCTGTATAGTGATCAGTCATATAGGTGTCACATAGGCACCTTAAAAAGTTTCTTTATATTTGTGAATGAACAAAGAAGTAACTGTTGAATGACTTACCATCCAGATAGGAAGATTTTTGTAACTGAAAAATGGGGAGCATTAAACATTTCCTATGCTTGTGGAGAGTATATTGGATGTGTTCTTGGGTATCTCCTTGTGTCCTTCACTACTTCGTAAATGTTGCCTGTCTTGTCTAAGTCAGTTCTAAAGCTCATTTCAGCCTCTTCATTAGTAGCAGCAAGAAACTCAGCCCTTGCTTTATGATAGTACAAAAAGATAGCACATTTCTTCAACTTGCATTCTTAATTCTCTGAAATGAAACTTTCAACCCCCCACCCTTGTATTATGTAGAATAAACATGCAGGTTGATGAAGGTTTTTATACCTTCTGCTTGAAGACTAATACCTTCTGAAACTGCCCTGGGAGATGAGATTGGAGTTGCACTCAGAACACAGGGCTAGTAAATACAAATGCCAAGACCAGACTGCTAAAATTAAACATCCTCTTTCCTTTCTCTTGGGGCTTATGCCAACATGCAGCTGTTCTGCAGAGGGGCTCTGTAGGATGAAATGCCTTTTTTTTTTTTTTTAAGCCAGAGTCTATAGCTTTCCTGAAATTTGCTGTGTAGATCAGGTTGGCCTTGAACTCACATGCCTCTTCATCCTGAGAGCTGGGATTAAAGGCATGCTCCATTTGGCCAGCAGGATATACATTTTAAAAAGTCAAGTATAGGGTTATGCACTTGTAATACCAGGTCTAGAGGAAGCAGAGGTAGACTTGCTGGATAATGAGATCAGCCTACTTACTGGACAAAAGAACAAGCAGGTAGGTGGACTGCACCTGAAGCATGGTACCTCAGTTTGTCTACTGACCTGCATATAGACAGACGCACATACAAGAGTAGTTGCAAACTTGTTTATAAGCCGAATAGATTTTGAGTCAGTATAAAGTGAATAACTAATAAATTATTAAAGACCATTCTTAGGCTTTAACTCCAGGAATGAAGCTGACAGAAATGGGCTTTAAAAGTGTTTAAATGCCTCTTTATTATCAAGTTAACAATCTTAACAAAAAAAAATTAGCTGAGTCTCAGTTTCTGGTAAAATAATCCGTATTCATCCACGAGTTCTTGGTCATTCAGTATTATATGCTACCCTTAGCCTACAGTGAGTACCTGGCAAGTCTATATAAGCACACGTTTTGCCAAGTGACTGGCACAGTAAAGACTTTACTGGCTGGGTTAGTAAAGAATGAGGTATATCTAGATCAGACTAAACAATTTTTATAATAAGGGACTGTTCTTGAAATTGCCACATGTCCTTCTCATTACGGTTCTGCATTGAATGAACAAAAAGAAAAGCTGTAGAAAATTATTTAGCTTTAAAATGGGGTAACATTTGTGGTAAGTATTTTTAAAGATACAAGGTTTAAAAGAAGTGGAATCGAGGCTGGAGAGATGGCTCAGCAGTTAAAGAACCCTGGCTGTTCTATCCCAGCTCCACATGTTGACTAAAACTGTCTGTAACTTCTGGTTTCCCGCTGGAAACACAAATACACATACAATGAAAATAAATAAATGAGTAATTTTTAAAGCTGGAGTCAAGAGACTGGTTAATCCCAGCCTTGCTGTTGACTAGCATTGTGACAACCTTCCATTGTTGTGTTTTCCTGTGTGTAGTATCATGTGAGTACCAAATGAGAGAACATTGTACAGCACCTAATGTAAGATTAGCAGTCAGTAAGTGGCAACTCTTGATAATGTCACAAGAAAACAGGATGCAAGAACAGGAAGAATGGGTGCCATTGGGATGAGAATGTGTAGAAAGGCAAGGAACAATCCAGGTGAGTCGGGATAGCCGCCATGACCATTCCCCAAGCCTAGCGTGGGAACCCAGTTTCACACTGGCATTATCTTTTCAGGTGGACACCATGTCTTTGAAGATTCAGACTAGCAATGTAACCAACAAGAATGACCCCAAGTCCATCAATTCTCGGGTCTTCATTGGAAACCTAAACACAGCTGTGGTTAAAAAGTCAGATGTGGAAACCATCTTTTCCAAGTATGGCCGTGTGGCTGGATGTTCTGTGCACAAAGGCTATGCCTTTGTCCAGTATGCCAATGAGCGCCATGCCCGGGCAGCGGTACTGGGAGAGAATGGACGGGTGCTGGCTGGACAGACTCTGGGTAAGTTAACCTCTTCTGTCTGAGTAGCTACTGCCTGGAATTTTATTTCGGCAGATAAAAATTATATTTGTAATTCCTAAATGAGTGCCTGTAGGGGATTGTTACAGAGGCCCCTTTTCTCCTGTCCTTGCTTTCCCAATGCCTCTTAATATAAGTGTGTGTGTGTGTGTGTGTAGTGTTTCTGGGATTGATGCCATGTGCTACTAATCCCAGCACTTGGGAGGCAAGTGGATCTCTGAGTTCAGGGCCAGCATGATCTAAAGAGCGAGTTCCAGGACACCCAGGGCTACACAGGGGGGCTCCTGTCTCAAAAGAAAAAATAAAAAGTGTGTTTGTATACATCTGCACGTGTATATGTAAACCATGGTTCCTGTGTAGAGGTCAGAGGGCTAGAGTTGGTTCTCTCTTTCCACCTTTATGTGGGTTCTAAGAATTAAACTCAGGTCATCAAGCTTACTAAGCAACACCTTTACTCCTGGTCTTCATAGCCTCCTCTCCCCACCCCCTTAAATTAAAAGGATTTGTTTTGATACAATATATCTGTAATGCCTTTTTTTCCTTCCCTAACTCCTCCCAGATCTTACCTACCCATCTAATTTTGTTGTTTCTCCCTCTTTCAAAAAAAAAAAAACAGAAAGAAATGAATAAAAACAGGAAAATCAAATAAGCAAAAAAAAAAAAAGAGGGAGATAAAAGTACCAAACAAAAGCCCCCCCCTTCAGAAAAAAACAAAAAACATGAATTTATTTTTCTGTTGACCAATTGCTCCTGGACATGGGGCCTGCCCTGGTATGTGGTTGATAGACCCACTATCACCCCATTGGAGAAAACTGATTTTCCTTTTGCTGACATATATCAGTTGCAAATAGCTTCTTCTTTAGGGGTAGGACCCTTTGTGCACTTGACTCTTTTTAGTGCTGCAACCCAGTTAGGCTTGAACCTGTGCAGGTTCTATGTGTGCAGCCACAGCCTCTGAGTTCATATGTTCATTAGTCCTGTTGTGTCTGGAAGACACCATTTCTTTGTAGTGTTCTTCACCTCTGGCTCTTACAATCTTTTCTGCCTCCCTCTTCTGCATAGATCCCTGGGCCTTGAGGGGAGTAGTTTGATGAAGACATTTAGAACTGATTGCTGCAAAGTCTCACAATGTTCAGTTCTGGGTCTCTGTGTTAATTCCTGTCTATTGCAAGAAGCAACTTTCTCACATGTGGGTTGAACAGTGTACTCTCTGATCTACTCCCATAACCTGTTAATAACAAGCTTTATGGTTCCAGTTAAAATACAGATTCTTCATAGAAAGGGAACAAAATGGACTAGTGTAGCCTGTTACCCCAGTCTGTAGAAGATATGGGTTAGAATCCTTTCTAAAAGCTATGATGAGCTAGGATTAAAGGGAAGATGTGTGCTCTTGGCATTATTGATTACATACATACATATGAAATGACTGTTGGTGTCTACCTTATGGGTGTGTGTGTGTGTGTGTGTTTAAAGACCTGAGTCCCATGTGTACACTGTGAATACATGGAGGCATGATGGTGATGTGTGTTGACATACTGCTATCTTGTTAGCATTCCAACTCTGCTTCTTCCCTCCACACAGACATCAACATGGCTGGAGAGCCCAAGCCCAATAGACCCAAGGGGCTAAAGAGAGCAGCAACTGCCATATACAGGTGAGACTATATGTCTGCTTCTTTGTCTGCGTTGGTTGGGTTCCTCTTTTCACAGAGGGAGTAAATGCCCATAGTGACAGTGCTGAGCTTAGAATTTAGGACAACTTTGAAGATGAGGACCTGTGGAGAAGTGGGCTGAGTGGCCATCTCCCTTTGTTTTCCCAGTGGCTACAGCTTTGACTATGATTACTATCAAGACTACTTCTGTTCGAGGTGAGCAGGGAAGGGGCATTAAATAGCCAAACTGGAAGGGTCTTAAGAGATTGCTGGTGTAGCTCATAAATGTGAGTGGGTCTTTGCTTCAAGGTTGCTTCACAAATCAGGGACAGAGCTAGGACTAGGATCCCGTTTTGTAAGTGCTCAGGCCAGAGCTCTTACTGTCACACCCAACTCTCACATTCTGACTGCCGTGCCTCTTCCTAGTCTGTAGTGTAGAGGGGAGTGTATAGCTAGGGCAACTGGAATGCAAAAACAGGCACAGTGCTTTCACAGGTAGTGCCAGTAAACTCTGTTCAGTCTATGACTCTATAAGCCAGAAAGGAAGCCTGCAGATAGTTTGGTCTGACCCTATGACTAAGAAGTCCCAGTTATTTGGAGGCCTGAGTTAGTCCATGATGAGTTGTGATCTGCCTTCTATCCCAATCCTACCTAGACTTCAACTTTGAAGTAAGTCTTCTAGAGGCCCAGCCATATTTGTTTGTTGAGAATAGTTTTAAAAACTCATTATTCTCCTGTATCTGCTGGTTGAGTTGCAGGGATTACAAGACTAACCACAGTGATAGCTCCTGGTCATGTGCTTGCCCAGACAGCCCAGGGAAAAGAACTTTTCTGAACCATTTTCTCTGCTGTGTTCTCAGGAAATAATTTGGCACAGTGGGGAATGTCATAATCTGGAAGTCAAGAGACTGGATGCTAATCTCAGCTATGCCATTGAATAGATAATCTGACTGTGCTTCCCTTCAGAACCATGGTCATTGCACATGGTGGGAGAGCTCCCTGCTCAGCCTTGCATCTCATTCAGCTGCCCACCCTTGAAATGCTGTCGAGCGCTTGGCTTATATCTCTGGAGAAAAAAAGGTGTTGAAATGGTCCAAAAGCAAAAAGGAGTTTAGAAGCCTGAGGCCATGGGTTCCTCAAATGAGTGTGTCAGTCCCCTGGTACCCAGCTTTTACTTGTCAAACCTTCTCAAGTGTTTTTAATGAGGTTCTCATACTCTACCCTTACTGCACACTCAGGTAGCTAGTGAACTTGGACAGCCCTCTTCATTAAGTAGGTGGGAAAACAAGGGTTCAAGGGTTGGTCACCCATTTTCAAACCTGTTTCCAGGTGGAGATTTACACTGTTTTGACATTTACAAGCTGATCTGATCCAACAAAGGATACGTGATTATCTGAGTAGAAGGTAGTGACCTTAGGAAACGCTCTTTTCTGAGACTGGGCTGTTTGTTCCTATACTGCTTCTCCTAGCATGGCTGGGGGGATAAGGTGGAAACAGTAAGGTTTTCTTTCATACCAGGTTACACAGGTAAAGTTAGTGTTTTAGTGCCTCCTGGTGGCCACAGGCCATGCTGCAGCCTCTGGTTTATTTGCCTTTGCAGGCTGTTTGATTATAGAGGCCGCCTTTCTCCAGTGCCTGTGCCCAGGGCAGTCCCAGTGAAGAGACCCCGTGTCACAGTCCCTTTGGTTCGCCGTGTTAAAACTACAATACCTGTCAAGCTCTTTGCCCGGTCTACAGCCATCACTACTGGCTCAGCCAAGATCAAGTGTGAGTGACTTTTTTGTTTTTGTTTTGTTTTTATTTTATTTTGAGGCAGTGTTCTACTGTGTATCTCTAGCTGGCCTGGAACTCACCATGTAAACCAGACTGATATAAAATTCTTCTACCTCTGCCTCCTGAGTGCTGGAATTAAAGATGTGTGCCACCACATCCTGGTGAGATCTTTTTATCTTTCCTGATCTTGAACCCCCCTTTGAGGTTGCATATCAGATATCCTGCATATCATATATTTACAATTCATAACAATAGCAAAATTGCAGTTATAAACCAGCACCAAAATAAATTTATCATTGGGGGTCACCACAGCACAAGGAACTGTATTAAAGGATTGTAGCATTTGGAAGGTTGAAAACCACTGTTCCAGATCTACCTAAAATGATAGAATCACATTTTCTAACAACGGATTTTTTTCAAAAATTTTTAACCTTTTTATGTATATATGAGTGTTTACCTGCATATATGTCTTGGGTATATGCAGTGTCTGTGGAGGTTAGAAGAGGGTGACCAATCCCCCTGGGACTGGAGTTAGAGTTTTGAGCTGTCATGTCTGTGCTTGGGATCAAACCCAGATCTTCTGCAAGGGCAACCAGTGCTCTTAGCCACTGAGCCATATCTCTAGCCCCTAGAATCATACTTTATTAACACTGAGAAATAAAGGAGTAAATCTATAGTTGAGGTTACTCTTAATAATCAAGTGTTTGGATGCATTTCTTTAAAAAAAAAAAAAAAGGCCAATGCTGTGGTATGGTAGTATTTTTTTCTCTAGTAAGGATAAATTCAGACTTATTCTGGTCTTTGTATACTGCAGTCAGACCACCCAGGAAATCTAATTGCAGAAGACATTTTGTACTTTTAAGAACAGACCACACCCTGTAACACAGCTAAAAAGACACGTCATTACCTAGGTGTTCACAGAACACACCACAGGCCTACATTGTTTTTCTTTTTGAGACAGGCTCTCATGATAAACCAGATTAACCTTGAACTCAAAATATTCCTGCCTTAGCCTTCCAAATGCTGGGATTGCAGATGTGTGGCACACATGGCCTAGACCTGCATTCCTATTTATTTGCAGTCCTTATAGGATTGGGAGTTCTAGGACAAATGGCAAGGGTCGTGTGTATGGACTGGTCACTCCTGGGGCCTCTCGGTTCTCTCAAGAAGAGACCTTTCCCTTGGCAGGAAAAGAACCAAAAAAGAATGGCTTCCCTAGTTGACAGAATGAGGCTAGGGTTTTGTTTGCATTGTACCCCTAAGTGATAACCCTGTCTCCCCTCTACTCCAGTAAAGAGCAGTGAGTTACAGACCATCAAAACAGAGCTGACACAGATCAAGTCCAACATCGATGCCCTGTTGGGTCGCTTGGAACAGATTGCAGAGGAACAAAAGGCCAACCCAGGTCAGCTTTGAGGGCAGCACTTGGGAAGACAGTGTGCTCAGGGGTTAGGGACTGCTCTAGCTGAATTCTAGTTCCTTTTCTACTACTTTTATCCTTCAAGATGGCAAGAAGAAGGGTGACAGCAGCAGTGGTGGAGGAGGTGGCGGCAGCAGTGGCAGCAGCAGTGGCAATGCTGGTGGTAGTGGCAGTGGCAGCGGTGGTGGCGGCAGCTGCAGCAGCAGCCGACCACCGGCCCCCCAAGAAGACACAGCTTCTGAGGCAGGCACACCCCAAGGAGAGGCCCAGACTCGCGATGACGGTGATGAGGAAGGACTGCTGACACACAGCGAGGAGGAACTGGTAAGGGCCTGGCTAACTGTGTGACTTGGAAGGGCTAGAGCTGTTCCCCTTTGAGCTCCTTCCCCTCTGCTTTCCAGAGTGTCAGTCAGTCCTATGAGGAATAGGGAAGAATGAGCAGTGTACATATAGTTCACTGTATGAGCTGCTGAACAGCAAAGCCCAGGGCCCAATCTACCTTCTACTCTAGGTGTATTAAAGAAGAGGGGAATTGCACCTAAGAGTTGCACACGCAGCCTCTAAGGAACAGTTGGTGTTGACAATGAAATCCATGAGAAGATGGGAATTTTAATTTCACATGAAAATTTTCTAAAAGCCATTGTCTTTTAAGCATCTAGTAGGCTGTCTCTTAAAGGAGTAAACTCCTGTATATGCTGGAAGTATTCAGGGTGAGGTTAGGATCCATGAGACAGGGCTGATTCTTTCAACACTCTGATGCCTGCTACAGTGTTTGCTGCTTGTCTAGTGAACACTTGAGTTGAATATCACACTTTATAACTTAACCTCAACAATAGATTAGAATGGCCACATTTACCTTGAAGAAGCTGAAGCTCAAAGTTACCAGGTACCTTGCTCAGACTGGTCTGTGATAGGCATAAATCCTCCTTTTCTTTTTTTAAGTATAGCCTGGTACTTCATCTTATTCTCTTAGGCATAGTACTCTCAATAAAAGCTCTAAAGACTAAAAAGTAACCCAAAGTTGGGCAGTCCACTGATCTATTTGGCTTTAAACTTTACTGTAGTCCATGATTTTTCCATGCATAGAAATGTATCCCTGTTCCACCAGCAATCCCTTCAAATAACCCTCTCAGGATCCTTAAGCCAGTTTTGTTTTGGTTTAGTTTGGTTTTTCGAGATAGGGTTTCTCTGTATTGTTTTGGAACTGTTCTGGAGGCTATTCTGGAACTCGCTCTGTAGACCAGGCTGGTCTCAAACTCAAAGAGATCTGCCTGCCTCTGCCTCCCGAGTGCTGGGATTAAAGGCGTGCGCCTCCAAGGCCTGGCCCTTAAGCCAGTTTTATTGGCTGTTTTCTTTAGTTGGACCTCCTTTCCAACAGTCCTCCAGGCAGTGCTCTGAGCTACAAGATATTCCTGAACAGATCGCTCAGGGTAGAACTTGGGACCTGCAGTGAATGATCTGTGCTTGTCTTCCTCCTCTCAGGACCACAGCCAGGACACAGATGCAGAAGATGGGGCGTTGCAGTAAGCAGGTATGGGATACTTAGGGAGCACAGAAAATCAATAAAGTGAAGGAAGGCTGCAATTTCTTCCTGACGTGGGTCTAGGGAGCCATACTGCGCAAAGGCTGAAGGTCCATACGTGTAGCCTTACTCCTGTAACCACACATATCAGGGCCACTCAAAAAGTGTTCTCTTGGGGAGAGTGACAATGGAGGAAAACTGTGAACTGGGGTGGTGGAAGAAATGCTGTGCAGCTTAGTCTGCATCTTGGTGAGGGAGAAGCATTCCATAGGGGGAGAGAACAGACAGCCATATTGGAGCACAGCATTGTGAGTCTTTAAGGTGAGCAAGGACAAGAGCTGTCTGTTCTGTAGCCCAGCCCTGCAGAGTAGGGGAAAGGTGCCATTCATTTTAAGAGGGGATAACTAAGAGGTGTCTCATCTCCCCCCATACACACACAACACACCCTTTTAGGAGTTCAACTTGATCCTGTTAAGAGATGTCTTGCAAGCTCCTTTTATGACAGGAGCTGTTAATCTGATCTCTTCTACCCTGCAAGATTAGAATTGTGTATATACCATAGAAGTGGAAATGCAGATGTTGAAGGGTAGAATGAAATCTCAGCATGTCTCATGGGATTCCAAGATAGTAATTGACGATTAAATTCAAATTCAGTAACATGCAGCCCCAAAGCTTCCACTCTGGCCACTGTCTGTTACCCTGTTATGCCCTACCCTAGAGGAGGTTTACAGGTGACAGAGAGGTACTTTGATAGATCACACATTTATAATACAGGATCTCTGTCAGTAAGAGCTTCTAGACTAGCTCAGAAAACTCCTCATGTAAGTCTTCCCTCTTACCCAGAAGACTATTATATATTGTGAAGCTAGTTCATGTTAGGTATTAAGGCTTAGGTGGGGAGCTAGCTCAGGGCAGGGGTTGAGCCTTTCCCATGATGAATTAAATGATCAGAACATTGGGAAAGGTGCAGACAGTCCACCTCTTTTCCTTACCCCTATGATCAGAGTTTCTGTCTCAGCCTTAGTTTCTTCTTTGCCTTGACAGGAGAAATGGCCATCAGCAGAAGAAGGGCATCACTGTCTCAGGCCTCAAGCCAGGCACCCATCTCTGGATGCCAGTTTGTAGTGGGTACCAGAGGAAAGCTGGCAGCAGGCACTCCTCTCCCCATGCATCCCAGCCAGTGAGTGCTACATCCTTTGCAAGTGGAGTTACTGGCTTACCCTTACCCCATGCATTCTTCCTGTCTGCACTGCCTGGGCCAAGGGGCAGAACACATTCTGCCCTTCTTCCCCAGGGAATTCCCAGGCTTGGATTTTTCTATAGGTTTGAGGGGGGGTGGAGGGGGGGGGAGAACCTGACAATAAAAAGATTGGATCCAAATATGCTCAGATGGAATGGTTTGCTTATTTGGTTGGTTTTGTTTACATTGTTATTGTACATGTATGATATGGGGTGGGATGCATTTGCATGTCACACCATTTATTTGTGGAGGTCAAAGACAACTTCATGGAGATAGGCTTGCAAAGGAAACACTTGACCCACTGACCCTTCTCACTACTTCTATGATAAAACACTATGACCAAAAGCAAGTTAGGGAGAAAAGGGTTAATTTTATCTTCTACTTCCAGATAGCAGTCCATCATTTGGGGAAGTCAGGGCAGGAACTGGTACACAGGCCATGGAGGATTGCTCTTACAGGTTTGCTCCTCATGGTTTGCTCAGCCTGCTTTGCTTTCATACAGTGCCCACATTGGGCTGGACCTTCCTTCCCACATCAACCTGCAGTCAAAGTGCAGCATAGGCCAGTCCGGTGGGGAAAATGTCTTACAATTAAGGTTCTTTCCCAAGTGACTCAAGCTTGTGTCAAATTGACAAAAGCAGCCAGCGCACAGGCCTGTGGTTTTCTCAGTGGTATTCTAGCCTTCCTGTCCACCAGAGAGCTGGTATGCTCAACTCTTGTGTTCTCCCATCACTAACTTAACAGGGAGCACTGTCTCCAGTGTCCAATACTGATCCATTAGCACCAGCACTCCTCTGCTAAAATGTTTATAGTTAGTTAGGTATGACAGCACATGCCTATCATTCAAGCACTTAGGGAAGTGGAAGCAGAAATACCAGTCCATGACTGGTGAGGGTTCCATGAGACCTTATCACAAAAAAAAAACCCACAAATGTACCAATCATTTTTGGAGTGTCTATGCAAACACTAGAATCTAAATAGCTTTAAGCAAGAAGTAGCTTTATTCCTTTCCTAATGGTATGTTTATAGGAGTTTTAAATTTTAAGCTGGGCAAGATAGCATATAAGTAATCCCTAGATTATTTTTCCTTTTTGGGTACACTTAGGCCATTTGTTCTGCTTTATCAATGCCATTTAAGACAGCACTCAGACACTGTTTTGACCTGGCTCCTGTTTCCTTTTTTTGGAAATGGCGCCTTGATTCAGCTGCTGTTCCAGTCATTTCAGGCAAGTTTCCATACTAGTTGACTGCTCTGAAGGAACTAACTTGTCCCCTTCTTGGAAAGGCCTCCCCACCTGAGTTCTTACTCAGTTTGCAAGCCTGTCCTACTGGGTCCCCTATTGAACATTACCAGTTGTAGCTACCAGCCATACTGCAGTTTCTGACTCCCAAGTATTGGCAGAGAGGCCGGGTGCTGAATGTGGGACCTGGGCATGGAAACCTGAGAAGTGGCTCCCATCCCAGCAACACCTATCTGAGTGGGGCTTTTTAGGTTGTCTTTGTTATGTAACCCATGCTGAGATTACAGGAATGTGCCTCCACATTTGCCTTACTTTTGCTTTAGCTATACCCTGCTTTTTGCAATACTGGCTCTATAAAGGGTGTGTTGAAGGGAGGATAGAGATTTCATGGGCATTCTGCTGAATTCTTTACGGGTATTGTTTACCCCTACAACTCCCAGAAGTGGAGCTAGATCATCCTGTTAATCTACTGGAAACTGACATATTTGTTCAAGCTCTTGTCACTTGGGAGTTAGTTACCCAAATCTCCACTTGTACCCCATACTGCTGCTGAGTTCTGAGTTTCTTGAGCTTTCCTCTTTTGTACATTGCAGTGTTCTTTGCTGACTTCCTCTCATGCCTGAACCTCTTTCTACCCTTTTCCTTTATAGAACCTAGCATATGGCATCACTATACTCTGGCAGCTGCACTGTAGTATCTTCGGTGACCTGAGCCATTCTACCCTGTCCATTCCCACTTGGTCTTTTTCATGAATCCTCACCTGGACAATAGCCACCATTCCCTGCCCTGACACATCTTCCACTCCTTCCTAATTTTTCCATAGTAGTCTAAAGTCAAACATGTTCCACTTCTTGACATTTCAACAAGAGGTTACTATCTATAAAGAACCATGTGATTGAGTTACATAAAACACAAAATGTCATATTTTTAAAGTAAGCTTATAATTTTGTGTATCATATTCACAGCTATCTTTGGTCTGCTTGCTGGCCCTTTTTCATATTACTTTAATTGAAAAAAAAGTCTCATGGTTTTAGGGTTGTTTTTTTTTTTTTTTTTTTTTTGGTTTTTTCGAGACAGGGTTTCTCTATTGTTTTGGAGGTTGTCCTGGAACTCACTCTGTAGACCAAGCTGGCCTTGAACTCAGAGATCTGCCTGACTCTGCCTCCCGAGTGCTGGGATTAAAGGTGTGCACCACCAATGACTGGCTATGTTTATGACTTTTACCTGTATGAATGTAACTATAACATAGTCTCTGAGGACAAAAGAGGGCATTGGTAACTAGAATTAGATAGTTGTGAGCTGCCATGTGAGTACTGGAATCAAACTTGAGTCCTCTCTAAACCACTGAGCCACCTTTTCAGCCCTAGACTCTTCACAATAATCTGTTCTCTTTCATATTTACTTTGCACCAGGGCTCTGCTGTTCTGCCTTCCTCCCCTTTTTTAAGATAGGTCTTAAAATTAATCTGTGTGTGCCAGTTTTGCCTTTTACCAGTCCACACCCAGTTTTGCCTTTTACCATCATGAAGTTGAAAAGTGGTGGAAATCACTAGCAGATACCAACCAGTCATCAAACGGCCACATGCCATCCCCTAAGGAGTCCCACGAAGAATTGGACAGAACATACATAAACACACAAAAGCAATGGAGCACTAGTTACACAAGAGGCACTGATCCTTGCTTTATTCACGCAATAATAGCCAACATTGGGAATTAGGGGCAGAGGTACAAAAGAACAGAAAAAAAGAAAAAAATAGTCATCAACAGCTGTGATCAACATGGCAGTGAGTGGTAGCAGGTCAGCCAGACTATGGCACATCTCTTGACCTACTTGGTCAAGGGGACATGCCCTCTGCCACTTCACAGCCAAGTACTTGGTATAACACTTGGCCTTACTTGAAAATCCAGGATCACAGTAATTAAATATAACCTTGTCTTGGCTGAGTGACTGTTGTTGGGATGTTTAGCAAGATTAACATCTGATGGCAGGAAAGTGAGGAGCATCATGTATGTCCTTATCCTGGTAGGTGCACGTAAGGCAGATTATAGCACAGACCCACAAGATGGACCCTCCTGTGCACCGATGGAGAATACCTCGCTAGCTCAATCCTCAGAAACAGAGCTGGAGGTAACAGCAAGACCACACACGCAGCAGCATCTCTTGGTTTCACGGCCACATTCAAGTTAGTTTAGTACAGAAAAGCATTTGAAAGGGGTCTTTTACTGACCTAGAACATAGGTTGGAGAAGCTTCCTTAAGTGCTGCTATTTAGACCCTAAGACTTCTCTGTACTACATATGCTTTCTCAACAACAGAGGCCTAACTAACAGTATGTCAGGTATAGGACATACTGGCCTGTAACAAGAATTCCAAGGATGAGGAACCTAGCACCTGGTAGTTCCCTTGAGTGACAACAGCTGAAATTTCAGCTATCTCAGTCTCAAGTGTTGTCACAGGAGGGAAATGAGGAATTGGCAGTGAGGTAGTAGCAATCCTCACAAAAGGAAATCCTTCATTCTCTGGAAACTAAAAACAGGCTGCTGTCCCATTCTTCTCTTCCAGCCACTTAAGTCATACCTACTCTAGCCATGTAACTTGAGAAGTTGGAAAGGAAAATGGCTTCCCAGCTCCAGTGTTTGCCAATATTCAGTTTCTGAGGTCAAAGTCCAAGAACCAAGTTGGTTGTTTTGTATTTTGCTAAATTCAACGAGCATTTTATTATAGAAAAGAAAACTGAAGGACAGATCAAATTGAAAGAATCAGTTATAATAACTTTAATTTATCTTGCATTTTACAGAAGTCTATGAACGATTTTAAAAAGCACCTCCTTACCCCATCATGTTTCTTTGACAGTTGTTAAAGTAGGCAACGAGTATGTCAACAGCTTCAGTATCGGCATCTTGCAAGGATTTCAGATCACTTGCCAAAGAACTTGGCAGCTTTTCTATCTTGTTTTTTAATTCAATGGTACATCCACTCTGATGGTAACCTGTCCAGCCAAATCTCCACCACACATTTTGGAAAAATCAATGGTGATTAGCAAATTAGTTAGCTTTGGCACGGAGCTGTGCTCGCTTGCCCGTGACAGCCTGGAAGCCAGTTTTGATACTGGCAACAGAGCATCGAGAATGACAAGTTTCACACTGTAAGAAATAGAGTCGGGTGTCCTTCTGTAGGATTGTGTCCGGTGATCGGCATGTGTGACAAGTGACGTATTCCTCTGCAGGAAAAGCAACATGGCATTATCTGCTAGATACAGTAAGGCAGAGGCTTCTGTTTGCACATAGAAATGCACCTAGCTAAACAGCTATTCTAGGGGTAAGCATACAAACTAAGCTGTCATAATGTTTTTGGCAGCATGATACATGTTGAAAGGACTTCAAATGCCCCAGTTAGGGAAGGTTGCCAGATACCTATTCTTGGTGCCATCTATGGATAATCCACTTATGCCTTAGGTGAGAAGAGGCAAGGCATGCCAATTTTAAATGTTTGTGACAAAAGAGGGCTGAGGCAGGCCAAGCCAGAATCAGAGGCAGGTTTCTCTGACTTAAGTCTTTAGCCCCAGAATCAGCCAGCAGAGGCTGCATCAATTTGGCTGTCTGCCTCTTCCTATCATTTTCCATGTCCCCTACAGGGTTTCTCTATGTAGACCAGGCTGGCCTCAAACTCAGATCTCTTAAGTACTGGAACTATGTGTGCTACCATGCAAAGCCCCATTTTCCATGGTTTTTTTTTTTTTTTTGGGGTTTTTTTTTTGGAGGCTGTCAGTCCAGCCTGGCCTCGAACTCAGAGATCCACCTGCCTCTGCCTCCCGAGTGCTGGGATTAAAGGCGTGCACCGCCAACGCCCAGCTTACACCATTTTCCATGTTTTTTAAGGCTTGTTTTCCCAGGTTCATTACAAATGGATCTCCTCAAAATGCTTTAGAGAGAGCATTTCAGAATTATACGATAAAATTCAATTATACACTTACTGATATATCTTCTCAAGACATTTTCTATCTGTTTCTGTTGGAATCTTCCTTTGATTACAAGTTGGTTATTACCATCTATAGAACCACTATGAAAGAAAACAAATAAACCCATTACTTTTGTTCATTTTCCCAGGAGCCCAATTCCAGCACCTTCATACTTAATGAACTTAAAATATATTCATTGTGTAAGATAATTTCTAGGGTGTGTTACACTATTTGGTTCTTCACATTTTATTTCTCTTTTTAGTGACAGGAATTTATGTGTTCCAGGCTGGCCTTCTTTGCCTTCCGGGTGTTAACATTACTCGCATGAACTGCTATACTTGGCCTGAAAATTCTTTTAAGAGTTTATCTTTTGCAAAAATTTTATTCTTAATTATGTGTGTGTCTGAATAGTTACGTATGTGCATGTGAGTACTGGTTCCTGTGGAGGCCAGTGTTGTATTTCCTGGAACTAGAATTGCAGGTGGCTGTGAGCCGCCCAATATGCATGTTGGAAACCTTACTCAAGTCCTCTACAAGAACAGTATCTTCTCTTAACTGCTGAGCCATTTCTCCACTCAAAATTATTGAAATTGGGTTCCCTTGTATAGTCCTGGCTGTCCTAGAACTCACTCAGTATTATCAGAAGGGCCTCAGAGATCAGCCTGCCTCTGCCTCCTGAGTGCTAGGATTAAAGATGTGCACAACTACTGCCAGGCTCCTCAAATTTTTTTTTAAAAAATTTTGGGGGGGGTGTTCGAGACAGGGTTTCTCTGTGTAGCTTTGTAGACCAGGCTGGTCTTGAACTCAGAGATCCACCTGCCTCTGCCTCCCAAGTGCTGGAATTAAAGTCATGGCTGATTTACTCTTAATAGTTAATCCAACTTCAGCTATCTAGTAACAATCAGATTTGTAATTGACTTTATGTCCAAAAGTAAACTGATCCCTTAACTGTGTAGGTTTGATTGTCTGTTCAACTTAAGAAAAAGAAACTCTTTACTGAATGTGTGCCACCTGCAAATATGAGGGAGATATAAACATAAAAAAGTTGTACATTATTAAGCCGGGCGTTGGTGGCGCACGCCTTTAATTCCAGCACACGGGAGGCAGAGGCAGGCGGATCTCTGAGAGTTCGAGGCCAGCCTGGTCTACAAAGTGAGTTCCAGGACAGTCTCCAAAGCCACAGAGAAACCCTGTCTCGAAAAACAAAAACAAAAAAGAAACAAAACAAAAAAAAAAGTTGTACATTATTTTTAAAAGTCTGAAGCCAAGGTGGTGCACACCTGTACTCCCAGCATGTGGGAGGCAGAAACAGGAAGACTGCCACATGTTTAAGGAAGGCAAGCCTGAACTACATAGTGAGACCCTTTCTCTAAAGTCAATATATGAATAAATAAACCAAGCCAGATACAGTAGGTGAACCAGTAACCACAGTCATTGAGTAGCCTAAGCAAGAGATCACTACATGAGCCTAGGAGTAAGACTCTATCACAAAATAAATTAAAACTAAAGCACTACAGTTTGACAGTTACATATGAAGACACAGCTGAAAATACACTCAAATTGTGGGTTGTATGTCAAAAAGCTGTTACCAAAAAAAGTAAAACTGAAATTCCATGCTGCAAACTGTCAATGATAAACACTTGAGAAAGTAAAGATCCTTAGATAAGACATTACTGTTTGTTAAAAATGATAAATCCAAGTAAAACAAAAAATGATAAATCATAAAACAAAATTAAGTCTTAGAGTTAAATTTATATTTGTTCCTATCTTAATAAAGTGGACTTCTATAGAAACAGATTTTCCTATCCTAAAGATTTACTATCACATACCATTAATTTGTAACCTTTGATCCCTCCCTATCTAGGCTACCCTGATTCCAATGTAGGGCATTTTTCATTGTCCAAAAAAAAAAAAAGGAAAAGAAATGGGAATTTGCCTAACTCTGAAATATTTAACCCACTGACCATAAAGTTTCACAACCTGCTAGAATTTACTACACCCCTTCACCAAGTGCAGGTTATTCTGAGAAGTAAAGAAATATGTGGCTAGCTTTTCTTAAACACTGAGTATAATTCAAAACCACAACTATGACAATCCTCTGATAATTAAGATTAATTTTTTTCTGACACACAAATGGTTCTTTTGAAGTGTCAAACAATACTCTTTATGCATACAGTTTCTTACCTTGTACCCAATTCTGCCAATAAAAATGCAAGGAGATGTTTGGGTTGACGATGTAATCTAAAAAGAAAATCAAATACTTAAATCTTTCTTGGAAATCCTAAAACAGAAACCATACTGTTTACTATTTCACTGTGATTACTCAGTTATTAGGCATCTCAGTGATTGCACACTTGTGCATAGAAGTAGCACTGGCTATAATTTCAACACCCAAGAGGCTGAAGCAGGATGATCAACCTTAATTTCAAACCCAGCCTAGGGCAGTGAGTGCCAGTTTCAAAAACAAATAGGCTGGAGAAACAGCTCAGTAGTTAAGAAAATTAGCTGGAAAAAAAAAAGAAAGAAAAAGAAAAAATTTGCTGTTCCTCCAGAAGATGAACTAGGTTTGACTTCTAGCACCTTCGGTTCCAGGGGATCTGATTCCCTCCTACCAAGCATGCATGTGGTACACAGACAATACATACAGACAAAACATCCATACATGTTAAAAAAAAATAAAAATAAAAAACCAACAGCCGGAAAGTGGTGGCACACGCCTTTAACCCAGCACTTGGGGAGGCAGAGGCAGGCTGGTCCCCAAGAGCTAGTTCCAGGACAGCCTCCAAAGCCACAGAGAAACCCTGTCTCAAAAAAACAAAACAAAAAAAACAACCAACAAAATGGCATATGCTACTTTACAGTTTGATACTCATAAACTATCACATGTTGTTTCTAAACACACCTAACCAAGTAAATACCCAAAAGCATGAAAGCAAAACATTAACAACAAAGTTAAGCTATGATTATCTACCTCCTAAAAGTGGATTTACACGTAACCTCTCACTTTCTTACTGTATCTTTTCTAATTTCTAGTGAACATACACTATTGCTGTCATCAAAAAAGTAAAATATGTTGAGTAATGAAAATGGATTACCTCTTCTGTAACAAGCAAGTATGATTTGAAACTGAAAAACAGTAGACTAAAGTGGGTGGCTGGAGAAAACTTGCCAGAAAGGGCAGTGACCCCAGCACAGGGTACAACAATGGTGATTAAAAACTAAAAATCTCATCCACTGGGTCCTGACAATCCAGGAAGCTTAAATTCAGCTACTTCCTCAGAGTTCATTACTTATTTGTCAGGCCCACCCCTGGCTTGAGAATCATATCCAGCCTCTTCATTCCTGGCTCTGCTTAGGAGCTACTCCATCCCCACCACGTGTTCAGGTGTTTTGCCCACATCATATTCCCGGGAATATTCCCTGTCTAGAGTTATAGACAGTTTTGAGTTGCCATGTGGGTACCAGAGTCATCTCTCCAGCCCCTGGGATCTACTCTCATTAGTCAATATTGACTTACCTTTAGATGCCAAGATAAAATGAGCTCTGACAACATACAGACATGAACTGTGACTTCCCTCAATCTATGCCCTATGTACTTTGATGTACTTTTTCAACCTATAGAAAAAGATGACCATTAAAAAAAAAATACGGTATTTGAAAAGGTCTCTACTAGCCCACTTACAGTTTACAGATATCTGTAAAATTGACAAAAGAAGTTTTCTTGGTTCCTACTCGGACAACCTGTGGAGGTTTCATAACAAATTTCCTCTTCTCTCCAGCAACCATATCAGGATTCTTTTCTCTCATGATGTTGAACACTCGGTTCAGCAACTATAAGGAATGAGAATTCAAGCACATCCTTAGTAATAGCAAGAGTATAAAATTTCTATTTGAGACACTTTTGCTTTAATAAAGCTATTATATTTTTATTAAATGCACAAATGAATCTCCACATGTTCTGGGAACTTCTTGAGGGCAGTAGCTCATTACTTACCAAGATCTGGCCTTTATGGAGGCTCAGTTACTCTACTGATTTTACAGGAAAGCATGTGACACATGGGAAAAACTAAAGAAACCATAAATGAGCAAACTCCAGACTACCCTGACCTCAAACTGGATATGTATCACCCAGGTCCCACTGATTCCCAGAGGGCTCCATACTATAGTGACAGATACACTCTGAACAGGCTGCCCCACAAGTTTATCAGGAATTGCCATGCACTGGCCACATGGCCTACTAGAATCTGTTTATCACCAATCTTATGCCAGGGGCTCTTCCAATACAGGGATTCCATACCTACTCTTCTCTGAGCTCAAATGATAGCCTTAACTGCCTCCTTCTCCTCAAAAACAAAACAAAAATGTGTCTCACCTCCTCATATGTGTAGTCTCTTTCTGAGCCTGCCCAAGCAGGCCCAGTCTGGTTACTGAATGAAATGCCATCATCTTTTTTGCTGTCTTCATCTTCTAAAGCTACAGATAACAAAGAGTACGAATGAGCAGTAGACTTTGATCCAACAAAGAGGAGTACAGATATAGACAATGTAAGCTTTAGATACTGTTCTTCCCTTTCACAGTGGTAGCTGCAGTAGCTTCAAGTACAAAGAGAGGCCAGAAACCCCTTTCCTTTATAGACAAAAAAATTAGAACTTCACACAAGATCTTTAATAAGACATCCATTGTAACAGTGAAATGTTTCTTGACAAACACAAGACAAAACATTAACTACTTAAAGGAGAGCCCAACTGTTTTCAAACCTTTGAGAAACTTCTTTCTATATATATATATATATATAAAACCCATATGTTTAACTATATTAAAAAACTTGTAAAAAATCTACAGCATATAAAACTATAAACATTAAAAATTTTAAATATTAAAAACTCAATTACACTAATATTCCTGTGAGTCAGATTTTTGTGCATCATTTTTACTATACTTTAATAAAGTGAAATTTTTTGTCTGCCATTATCAAGACTTTCTTTTTAGATTTCATTATCATACAAGTGGTAGTAAAAGGCAGTACAAATATTTTTTTAAAAGCTCCTCAATCTAGTCAAGGAGACTCAAATCAAAGGCTTATATTACTTAAAACCAGGATGTTGAGTTCCCAACATTACCTTCATCTTTTTCTAGTATTTCATCTTCATCTGGGAATTTGACATTCTTCTTTTTCTTCTTTTTATTGCCAAGCATAATATCCAGGTCATCCTCTGGCTCAGCTGGCTCTTGGGCATCACTTTCAATCTTAAGATCCTAAGAAATTGAAGTAAGTCTCAATATTTTGATACTAGACTATTTTTAATGACACAGACAAGTACCATCTTAGAATATTCACATATTCAAAGCTAAAATTATAATGAGAAATGCTTCTCAGATAAGCTAAATTGCCTCAGACTCTTTGTCAAATATTTAAACTATGAGGTCCTTACGATAATTTTGTACAATTGCTCTCCTTTCTTCAGCTCTTCCTTTTTATTACATCATTAGGATGTTGTTACTATTATCTGTATTCTAAACCAGGCTCTCTACCTGAATCACCTGAGAAACTTTAATATTCCTCAATCTTCTGACTGGCCACATTCAGCAGGAACAAGGCTCAAAAGTATTTTAAGTTTCTCTGCCTGTCCCTTGCTGCATTTTATTCATACTAAATGCTCAGAATAGGTAAATCTACAGAGGCAGTAGATTAACAGTAGCTGAGGCTAAGGTTTGGGTTACTGAGAACTAGAGAGTGACAATGATCATGGGCTTTGTTTTCAAGAGGATTAAGTGTTCAAATTTAGGACAGTTACAGAACTCTGAAATGCTAAAAATCATTTACTTTAAATGGATGAATGAATTATATGGTAAGTGAATTATAGCTTAATAAACTTTGTTGCTTCAAAATAGTGGTTTTCATTACTGCATTTGCAGGTATACTTGTTTTGCCCTCAACCCTTCTCCATCCCTTTTACGTTTCTAAATATGACAGGCAATGGAAGGAATTTTCCTACTGACACCAAATACATGATTATTTTTTGCACGATTCTCTAACTTCCCAATACAAAGTAGGTATAATACTGATTATTTGGAATAATTAATCAGATACCCTATGTTTAAAAGCTTGGCTTCATAGTTTAAGGGCTTTCATTTCAGACACTAGTAGTGAGTTTCACCTACACTTTTGCTAAGCTAAAATTCAAAGACCTTCGGCCTCTATTGAGTAATTTGCTAAAACTCACAGCACTCAGCAAAGTTTTACTTATTATCATCAGTATATTCATGTGAATATACTGGTATATGATTAACTGAGGAACACCCAAATGAAAATAATGCATAGAACAAGCTATGGGGAGTAGGGAGTTGAGAGGGAATCAAGAAAAGCCAAGTATCTAAACATACTACCCTATCATCACTTCTGTGGGGTTACCAACCTGTATGCTTTGAACTCCATCACTTAGGGTGACAGAATTCAGTGTCCACACTGTCCATCACAAAAGTAGCAGGGGTCATTCAAAGTTCCAAACCCTAATAATGGATATTCCTAGTGACTAACCATCCCAAGAGACTATATGTACACCAGATTTCTTAAGAGCAAAGGATATCTATTACCTCTGAAGACTGCAAGGGTTTTCAGGAATTGAAAATGGGGTAACAGAGGTAAAGACCTAATTACTTTTTATTATATTTATCACATCAGCTTAGAATCAAACTATGAAGAAGTTGCTAGGCATCAGTTCAATAGATGTGACATCATGAAAAAGGAAAGACAACTCATGGGGAATCAGTGTCATGTGATGAATGGATAGACATGATACAGCCTGACTCCAAGGTTTCTTGCTTACTTGCTGTGAACTTGAATGTGAAAAAGGCACATTAAGTCCTAAGAGATGAATCATAAGCTCCTGAAAAGAATAGAGGCTCAGCCTGTTTCTTGGCTTCTAGTTTCTGACCAGCTTATCCTGCTCCCTAACCCGAGTATATTACCAACACAATCACAATTACATTTTTTGTGTCTGTGTCTTGAATGATTATTAACAATGGCTATAGTAATTTCACATATATTGATAAACTCAAAAACACAGAGATAAGTAAAACTCAAACATGAGATCCTAAATCTAGCTGTGTAGTTCTGGTGCCACATTAATCAACCTACAGTATTAACCAGACGATACTCTATAATAAAAGATCAAATAGTGACCTAGTCTCTATGATGATGCAATAAACATACACCAGCAAAGCTGTAGTCATCCACATTGTCTAATTAGGATACTTGTTAACATCCTTTTAGGCTGTAACCCCAGAAGCAGAGAAAAGAGTGTCACAGCATTTAACAGAAATAGGGGTTCAAGTCCCTACAAGATCAGATCAGTGCACTCTCCACAGAATTTCCCAGAGAAGCCTAATTTTCCTATTAGATCACTGCCATCAGCTACCAACTACCGCACTGGGGTACGTTCTTTGCTGGTACTGAAATTTGTTCAAGATATCTCAGTCAGAGACATCTTTCCTTAACTAAATATTTTTAGCACGGTTAAAGACAATGCGCATTTTTGAGTCCATTTTAATGACACAATACAATATTATAAGACCTAAATCCCTCTGAATACACGCATGCTTGCATGCACACATGTACGCACACACGTTTTTCAAGATAGGGCTTCTCTGTGTAGCCCTGGCTGTCCTGGAACTTGATCGGTAGAACAGGCTGGCCTCAAACTCAGATCACCCCAAGTGATGGTGACAGGATTAAAGGCGTGTGCCACCACTGCCTGGCTCTTATTATAATCCTTTATACATACATACATACATACAAACATACAGTCAGATACATTCCTAAGAAAATTACCTTAATAGTGGCTAAATGCTAAACCACCAAAGCAAGGCTACTAAGAGAGGAGATGAAGGAGGAAACAGCTATTAGCAACCTTTCTAGAATTCCAATTTTACCTTCAACAAGAAAGCTATACTACCTTTACACCTTCTTCAGCTTCATCAATGTCAAATATCTTTTTTGTTTTTTTCTTCTTTTTCTTTTGATTAAAGAAGTTCAAGTCATCTAAGTCATCAGAAGCATCTAAAAACAGATTAAAGATTTCTAATTATTAACAATTAGAAGGCAAGGCATCAAATTAAGAGTTGCACCAACTTCTTTCATGTATTCTTTCTTTGTTTTTTGAGACAGGGTTTCTCTGTATTGTTTTGGAGACTGTCCTGGAACTTGCTCTGTAGACCAGAGACCAGCCTGCCTCTGCCTCCAGCGTGCTGGGATTAAAGGCATGCGCCACCAACGCCAGGTCTTCCATGTATTTTTATGGTGTCCTACCGCCACCATCAATGTTATGGTTCTGAAGAAACTGACAAATCAACTCAAAGCTTTCTAGAAAAATCATTAGGGACCTTGGCTGAGAACATCAAACTCAATAATCTGACCATGTAATGTCAGAAAGTGCTCTCTGACACAATCTCCAAGAATATATCCAACTGTATCTCTCTATTTCAGTCTACCCCTCTGTTCTCACCCACCTTCTATCCCTCAATCTCTGGCTCCAGCTCTACCAAACCAGTGGAGAACTAAGGTTTCCACAACAACTGTGACTGACACAACTACTCACCTTTTTTTCTACTGTCTTCTTCATCAGCTTCCACATCTTTGTCTTCAGTTGGTTCTGGCTCCACTTCTTTTGTTTCTGAGGGCTGGGTTTCTTCTGTCTGGGCATCACCTTCTTCATCTAACATAAAAGGCTTCTTCTTCTTCTTTTTCTTTTTGCTCATAGTAGGATCAAAAATCATCTGTTTAAATTTAAAAGGACCAGGCGTTATTTTATTTTTTCCAAGACAGGGTTTCTCTGTGTAGCTTGTTCTGGAACTCACTCTATAGATCAGGCTGGTCTTGAAACTCACAGAGATCTGCCTGCCTTTGCCACCACCACCCAGCTATATGCTTTATTCTTAAAAAATTGGATACATTAATTCTAAAAGGGGGGGCTGGGGAGATGCCTCAAAGTATAAAGCCACTTGCCCCCAACCACTTGCTTGTTTGCACACTCTTTCTTTCGAATGCAATAAAAGGCAACAAAAATACAAAAGAAAACAGATTTACAAAAAGTCCACCTAACCTCCTTTACATTATTAAACATGGGGAGTACTTCACATGTCTTTTAATTTATAAGATATCATAAGCTATAACTTCATTTTTTATTTTCATGAGCAAATTTAGACCTGAATGAATCATGAAGTTTAGGGAAAGGACCTTAGCAATAACGTATGCTGTTTTCCTGATTTACGGGTGAGATCAACAATGTCTAGGCAGATGATAAACATTTAAGGTTGACAATTTAGAGTGGCTAACACCAGATGATCTGAGACTTACTAGTTTTTTAAAATTTTTATCTGCTGAATAGTGTTTGGAGGAGCTGGGGTAAATACAATCAAGATATACTGTAACATATATGAAATTGTCAGAATGCCTAGCAGTGGTGGCACACTCCTTTAATCAAGAAGCAGAGGCAGGTGGATCTGTGCTGAGTTTAAGGGCAGTCTGATCTACAAAGTGAGTTATAGGACAGCTAGGACTATACAATGAAACCTGTCTCAAAAAACAAAAAGATATCAAAGAGTAAATAAAATGTTAAAGTTTTCTTCAATTTTAACTTTTAAGGAAACCTAAAAGCAACCTTATTGTAAGAAAAATTTCTAAAATTCTAAAAAATTTCTAATTATAAGAAAGTTTCCTTTACTGTTTTTGTTATGCAATGCGAAATGTTCACAAGCTATAAAACAAGTGAAAAATTAATTTCTAACCAGTAAATTGATGGCAATGATCCCTTGATATAGTTTGAACATATAGAGCATATTCCTGCTAGCAAAAAAAAGCAAAGTCTTTAGTCAAACAGAATTGGATTTGAGTACAATTATTTTCCCTACCATGCTTAAATATAGCAGTTTGTTCATTGTGTAGTAACCAAAAGCACAGGTCTGGAGACTCATTACTTGAGTCCAATCCTGTCTCAAAACAATAAAACTTTAAAATGGCCTGAACATTTCTGAATGCCTGACCATTAGGGAATCTTGCCCTCCTCATCAAGGAGCATCCACATTCCTGTGACACTTTTTAAAAGGTAAAGCTTTTGCTAGGTTAAAAGGAATGTTTTAGTGAGTCTGGGGCTTACTTACCCCAGTTTGTTTTTTTTTAATGTTTACTTTTTATCAAGAAATCATTTAAAGAAAAGCTACTTTTAAAAATAGCTTTATTCTCTATCCTGCCTACCAGTCAGAATAACCCATTCTAGAATGTTCTGTGAGGTTTTTAAGTCACTTCCAAGTACAGGTTTTCAGTTAATCTTTATTAAGTTAGTAGTCATAAGGGATTTGTCTGGTAACACTTCCCTAGTCAAAGCACTAAGAAAAGGCCGGGTGTTGGTGGCGCACGCCTTTAATCCCAGCACTCAGGAGGCAGAGGCAGGGGGATCTCTGTGAGTTCGAGACCAGCCTGGACTACCAAGGGAGTTCCAGGACAGCCTCCAAAGCCACAGAGAAACCCTGTCTCGAAAAAAGAAAAAACCAAAAAAAAAAAAAAACTAGGTAAACCAGAATCACATCCCATGTTCATTGCGCCTCTACCAGTAAATTCCACCTGAGTGAGAATAAAACCAAAGGCAAGGGTTCTAGTACCATTCAACTTTCTGCATGGCCTAACCTCCTTGGGCCCTAATATTCAATTTATAAAATGAAGTTGTACTGATAGGTCTTAGGACCTACATACTTTAGATTTTCAAGCGACTGCTGCTGGTATGAAAGCTGATTCCACCATTTCTGCTTGATAAAATCCTGTTCATGCTCTAGAAATGAATTCTTACCCCACACCTTTCAAAAGATCTCATTACCAAAAATTGACCTGTCAATCCCCCTCCATTACTACAGGTGTTAGCTATTACCTCTTACTACATACACCATAAGCACTTTACCATAGAAGCAATAGATCAAATACAGCAGTATACAGGTGGTTATTTCAAATGATAAAGTTTGGAACATTAGTAGAAAGAAAACAAGAGGGAAACACTTCCTCTCAGAACTTTTCTAATGCATACATAATACAGCTAAGAGCAATGTCTACCATGTCTTTCAAGCAAGAAGCATCTATCATCTCCTTCAGACAGAACTGCTGAACTTAGTAAGCTTGTGAGAGCCTCCTGGTCATTTAGACGGAGGCAGCATGGGACAGATCTGGGATTGTGCTACTAGCTCAGCCACTTGGAGTTTGATTATAGGCATAGTACAACTCTAGTTTTCTCATCTCTAAAATGGACCTTATACAGAACTGTGAAAAATCAACAAAAATAGGTTTTCCTTTCCTCCAGAGTCAATCTCAAATTCCTTAATGCAGTTTTTTAAGCCCTCCATGAACTAGCCAGTGTCTATTTCAATTAACCTGGTGAATACATCACTTTCTTTAGGCATTTTTTCCTTTCTTGACCATAAATGTCTTGTAATCAATCCATTTTCTCACTGGTTGAGAAAATTCTGATCAGCTCTAGAGTCTACTCAAAAGCCAACTCTGTAGAGAGCCTCCTCTTATCCTTCCTCTCCTAGGCCCTGTAAGTCAATTAAATCACAAATTCTTTTGGGGTTGGGGAAGACTAGTTCAATGTTTAGCAATATGCAAATGAGACAACTGTAACCCCTTCTTAAGTCGTTTAATTTTATGTGAACTAGGATAAATCTGGGAGGGCAAATCGTAAAACAGGGAAGGGGGCTTGATCAAAGCCCCGTGGAAAAAGACCCAGTCAGCTTCGCAGCCGGACTTCCCTGCTCACTTGGCGTGTTAAAGGAAACTTGGGGACTCGCGCCCGGAAACTTTCCTCGAAGGGTGGTTACTTTTTGAGACTAAAACCTCTTTTCCTCTGGTCCTCACACCGTGTCTAAGAAATACAGCGTCGAGCGAGGAAAAGGAACGAGATTCGCCCGGAAAAGCCTGTCGACAAAGTTTTTAACCGCGTACTCCACCGGAACCGAGGGAAGCTTCTCAAGGCACCTGAGCACTCAGCAATGAGCGCTGCGGCGGCAGTGTTTGAAAGAATGCCGGGGTCGCCTGCCCTAATTCTGTTTAATCGTGGAAACTAACTCGGTATTCAAACCCTTTCAGAGAGGGCGACTCAACGCGCTTTCCATTCCGAAACGCCGATCACGGTAGGAGGCCGGCTCGACGCCGTCGCCCTGAGGAGAGCTGGGTGCGGCCAAGTCTGAGGATCCGGAGTCCTCGCCGGCTCCACAGCTCCGGGCCGCCTAGGCCCGGCTGCTCCACATGGCGGCCGCCCACCGCTAGGCCGCAGGCCCGGCTTCCCACAGTGGTGTGGGTTCGGCTTCCTGTCTCAGCTCTTAGCTCTAGCTCCGTGCTCAGGCTCTCACCTCGTCCCCGGACATGGCTGTGGCTCTAGCGGGTTCCGCACGGGTGGGAAGTCAGACCGGTCAGCTTCAGACCCCGGAGTCGGCGCAGCTCCTACCGACACTTCGCCCAGCACCGCGCTAGGCTCTTGCATCAGCGAAAGGGAACGACACCCCGCCCTCCTCGCAAATGTTGTAAGTGCGCCTGCGCAGAGCTCGCCAACGCGCAGGCGTGCGGCAGAGACAACCTCGCGTGTTGCTTGTGGCGCGAGTTACCAGGCGACATCCCTGCGCCGGGCATGCTGGGACTTGTAGTTTGCCTAGAAGAAAAGGGCGCTTGAACTACAGTAGTTTCCTAGGTCGGGAGCGACTGTTTTAGCGCCATCCAGGAGGTTCGGGTTCTTGTGCTACTGGTTACCTCAGCAGTTCGGGAAGCTCTGAGTTGCTTGTAGAGTGAATTTGGGGCCATTCTCCCGGAGTTAGGTTAGTGAGACTCTGTAATTTGAACCAGCGGGGCTGATTTCCCACATGCCCCTGGGGTGTTCTAGTAGTCGAGGAATTCTAAGGGAGCAGGAGGCATGCTCCTCATTAAAGGCGTTTTACTTCGTGAGAAGTTTACGTTGCGGGCTTTTTACTTCACAAGTATCTTCCCTGGTTCCCCTGAGGTAAACCGAGAAACAGCCCAGCCAGCGACAGTCTGTCAGGAAGCTTCGCAATACGTCATGACTCGCTTAATGAAGGGATATGTTGAGAAATGTGTAGAGTAGGTAATTAACTTGTTGATGAACCTCATACCACACAAGGAAAGACACTACAACGTCCTAGGAGGTATAATCTGGGACCGTGGTCGTATGATATTTTTGGCAAAAGCTTCTTTATATGGTGCATGACTACTTGTTTATGAAGTCTTTGCTAGACAATTCTGGATGCATCATCCAATTTCCCTGGGGAGATACAACTGCCACTTAGAAAGGTCTCATTATCTTCAGTGCCATCCAGTCAAAGATCGTGGAGAGCCAGGCGGTGGTGGCGCACGCCTTTAATCCCAGCACTCAAGAGGCAGAGGCAGGCGGATCTCTGAGTTCGAGGCCAGCCTGTCTACATCGCGAGTTCGAGGTCAGACAGAACTGTTACACAGAGGAAACCCTGTCTCAAAAAACAAAGATCGCAGAGACTACCCTTGTGGTCAGACAAATAGGGCTTATGACCACAAGAAACAGAAAAGCATCACTGTCCAAAAGAATGCAGTCTGGACTTCTCAAATGATTGAGGGAATATAAGTAAGCAGATGCTATCAAAAGATGGGAGTAGCCGGGCGGGGGTGGCGCTCGCCTTTAATCCCAGCACTCGGTAGGCAGAGGCAGGTGGATCTCTGTGAGTTCGAGACCAGCCTGGTCTACAAGAGCTAGTTCCAGGACAGCCTCCAAAGCCACAGAGAAACCTTGTCTCAAAAACAAAAAAAGAAAACAAAAGATGGGAGTAATTATTGGGGTTTTAATGCTTCTGCATAAGAAGAGTCCAGTGAAGATTGGTGAAAAACCCTTCATAATACATGGCATGGGGAATATTTAGTTATTTTTGTAGTTGGCCCTAATGTTCTTGGTTTTATTTTTGTATTCATACATGATTACAGCATTTGTTTGTCTTTCTTTTTTTTTAGAGATATATTTATTATGTATATAGTGTTCTGTCTGTATGTACGTCTTCAGGCCAGAAGAGGGCACCAGATTTCATTATAGATGGTTGTGAGCTACCATGTGGTTGCTGGGAATTGAACGTAGGACCTCAGGAAGAACAGCCAGAGCAGCCAGTGCTCTTAACCTCTGAGCCACCTCCATCTCTCCAGCCCTTATCTCTGTTTTTATCTGCTGAAATCACAGAGAGATCTGTAAAGGCAGGAATATCAGAATTTCATGGCCAGAAGAGAGGAGAGAGGAGAGAGAGAAGAAAAAAATCTTAGTGTCTTCTTACAAATCACTTTGCTGTACACTATTAACTTATCCTAAAAATAAACTAAATTAAAACAATGTTCTAGCCGGGCGTTGGTGGCGCACGCCTTTAATCCCAGCACTGGGGAGGCAGAGGCAGGCGGATCTCTGTGAGTTCGAGACCAGCCTGGTCTACAGAGTGAGTTCCGGGACAGCCTCCAAAGCCACAGAGAAACCCTGTCTCGAAAAAAAACAAAACAAAAATGTTCTATTAAATGATTTAGTTCAGCACACCCTAGATGATAATATCAGCATACCTCCCCTCTGTCTGAGACTATTCTCCTCCTCATTATGATCCATAATGCTTTGAGCTTTAAAATAACTGAGATAACCCACAAATATTTAGTACCCCCTAAGCATAGCATGTCCTATAGGAAAAGCCTATAATTTAGTGAGAGAGATATTTTATTAACTTCCTTTTCTGGATGAAGAAACTGCTTGTGTAGCACCAGAAAAATTATCCACAGTTATATACAGACAACAAAAAAGAGAACCTGGGACAATTTGATACTGGTGGCTGTTCTTTTACCTTGAGAATTTGAGTTGCTGCTGCCATACCACAGTCTTCTTTAGCTACCAACATCTATGTGTGCCAGGATTTCTTACCAGCAACACTATTGTCACTTTGGACCAGACAACTCTGTTGTAGGTTGATGTTCTCCTCACTGAGGACATTCAGTGCCTGGTCTATATTGATCCTAGTAGCACACTTCGTCTAATCATGTCATTGCCAAATGTGTCCTGGGAGGTGGGGTAAGCATCACACCCCTGATTGAGAACCACTCGCATCTGGTATTCACATCTTGTCTATTCCTGGGTTGTTGAGCTAGAACAAATATTCTCGGCTAGTCCTCAACTCAGAGTTGGGGAGCCAGGAAGAAGAGAGAAGCAAACTGGACTGTTTCTGAAAAGCCTATTCATTCAATGATAAAAACTGAAAGGGGAAATCAGCGGAAAAGTGATAGCGGTGGAGAAAGGGAATTTACGAGAAACCACCCTTTCATAATTCAGTTCATGTTAGCAAAGTTAGTTGACCCTAATAAATATACTAAGGTGCTGTCTAGTTTTTTGGGGTTTTTTTTTTTTTTGGTTTTTGGTTTTGTTTTTTTTTTTTTTTTTTTTTTGGTTTTTCGAGACAGGGTTCTCTGTGGCTTTGGAGGCTGTCCCGGAACTCACTTTGTAGACCAGGCTGGCCTCGAACTCATAGAGATCCGCCTGCCTCTGCCTCCCCAGTGCTGGGATTAAAGGCGTGCGCCACCAACGCCCGGCGGTGCTGTTTAGTTTTATGTCAACTGAACCCATGCTAGAATCATCTGAGAGGAAGAAACCCCAGTTGAGTAAATACTCCTTAAGATTAGGAGGCTAGCCGGGCGGTTGGTGGCGCACACCTTTAATCCCAGCACTCGGGAGGCAGAGGCAGGCGGATCTCTGTGAGTTCGAGGCTGGGCTGGACCGATATCCTCCAAAACAATACAGAGAAACCCTGTCTGGAAAAACCAAAACAAAACAAACAAACAAAAAAAAAGATTAGGCAGCTAGGTAAGCCTGCAGAGATTTTTCTTAATTAGTGATTGAAGAGGGAGGGCCCAAACCGTTGTGGGTGGTGTCATCCCTGGGCTGGTGGTCCTGGGTTCTATAAGACAGCAGGTTGAGCAAGCCCACATGGAGCAAACCAGTAAGCAGCACTCCCCTATGGCCTCTGCATCAACCCCTGCCTCAAGGTTCCCGTCCTGTTTGAGTTCCTGTCCTGACTTCCTCAGTGATGGGCTATAAAACAAATAAGCCCATTCCTCCCCTAGTTGCTTTGGTCATGTTTTTTCATCATAGCAATAGTAGGACTAAGTAAGATAGTACACTTCGTAAGGCCTTCTCGTCTCTCCACTCTATTTGGGAGATATTGGTATACATAGCAAATAGTCAAATCACTTTGTGAAGATTTTCTTTTCAGCATGATACCCAGTGTAACTATCCTCACCTGTCCACTTGAAGGAAATCTTGCTTCAGAGATTTCATCTTTCTTCCAAGGTAGTAGTTTGCTTTCCAAGAAAAGCCAGGATCCCCTGGTGAACTAGCCAAAGTCACCAAGCAATGATAACTAAGCTTTTCCAGTTTTTCTAAGAGCTAGAGCCCACTTAGCATCAACACAAATAATCATTTGTATTTTATAGCTTTTTTCATTTAGCAATCACTATAAAACATATGAAACATTTAGTAATTTTCATTTCATGCCTATGAGGCAAATCACTATAGATTTTCCATTTTCTAAATAGAGAAGCCAAATTATGGACTCTACAAAAGTAGTGAGAAGTCTTGAAGTAGTCTACTGGACTCTTTACTCTGGACCACTCTTTATGCCTAGTGTCACCCCAGTTCTTCAGCTGCTGAATGGTAAGTTAATGGTGATAATTAACCAACCCTATACTAAAGTGTATTTTAATGCCCTTGAAACAGTCCTTATGTTATGCCCAGATCTTGGGGTCCCCCCAAAACCACCATGGAGTCTGTACTCATATGCAAAAGCAAAGAGCCTTTTTTCAAGCTCGAGGTTGGACTCTCTGTCTGCACAACAGCGCAGTTGGGAGCAGAAAGTGCCCAGCCCAAGCTGGGTAAGGTGTTTATGGTAGTAGAGTTTGTGGGTGAGGGGATTGGCTTCAAGGCCCTGGTTGTCTGGGGGTGTCTTGGTGAAAGGGGAATAGATGTGTGCTGGGTTCAAAGACATTTGATGATCTTATCTAATGGTTGAGATGTTTGGAATAATCAGGTACTTCCCTTTAGATGCGACTCTCTCTGGATGGTGTCAGCTGATGGCTTTTCCTGGAACCTGGTGCTGCCTGCCAGTAAACTGAAACTCAGGCCTGCTTTTTAGCTGGTTTTTATTAAGCATGCCATAGCAGCAGTATGCCCAAGCTGTTCTGGGCTCCACACTTACTCTCTTGAGTTGACCAATGTAGTATAGTTATTTTCTCTGACCTGAAACATTCCCTTGTAGATGAGTGCAAGAAGCTCATAGGACTCGAGGAGTTCAGGGAAAATACAAGTCTCTGACAGCACTACAAGGTACAAAGCCTCCCCCTCTACAAAGTTATAAAAGAAAGGAATAATTTCAGGGGAGAGGAAACTTATTTTGACTCCAAACTCTTCAGAGAGCTCCAGGGATGTAACTTTTGTGAGTGCACACCCATGTTTTGGTAGGCTTTTCAG